GAGGCTGTTTGCCGGTAAAGCACTGGCTCGATACGAGAGTCGATGAGAGTATATTCGTAGATTTTGTTGTGCAACTCGCCTGGGAGGCGCAGCAACGGTGAGTTCTTGGCATTGGCTTGTGTGCCGTAAGTGTTAGCGGGTCGAACGAACAATTCCAGCCACAGTTTGAAAGAAAGAAATTACACAAGGTCGTGCTTGTCGACGGCCTTGTCGAGGACTGAAGGCGAAGTTGCGACGTGATTCATCGTGTGTCTGTCCATTTGAGTTAAGTGATTTTTCTGGTGGAAGTCGGTTGATAGTTGTGATTGTACTGGATTACAATTGCAGCTGGAACTAATGAGCGATGGGTATGTAGGCCGAGCCGTGAATGTCATGACCCCAACGTGTTATTGCCTACCCACTCACAACCAAGGCTATCGTCGTGAACGCTAATGCTAATCGAGTCAGCTCACACATTGCTCCCAATCACTCGACAATACCCTCATGATCCAAGACACAAACCATAACTTTCGTATATGTCCAAAGAACACCGAACCAAAATATATGTACGTGAACAATATGTTACTAAACCGCACTTCCCACCCCGAATTTCCTCTCGTAAATGCAGAAGACAAAATCCGAAAACGCCAACGAGATGCCCTTATTGTTTATACACCGTTAGCAAATGCGTAATCCGAGGTGTTAGAAACCTCTTTCTTGGCTGAGAATCTCGTCAACCATGGGTTTTACGGTAGGCATGTAGCCTTGCATAACTGGGCACCAGAGCGCCTTCTTCAGCCCCAATTCTGTGGCCATGTAGTACATCAGGCGGTTTATCCATTCTCGCCTTGCTGCAATATCTATTCTCCTGGGCTCAACTCCATAGTCCAGAGAAGGTAGGTCTAGCGGGTGATCGTACGGGTGCGCAGGGTTGGGGTCGAAGATGTGATTCTTCTTCGCGTTCTGGTCCAAGACCGGCGTGTTCGATGGCGGACTCGCGCCAGGAGATTGGTCGCTTTCCGACTTGGACTGAATATTGTGGAGTTCGGAGAATGGCGGTGCCGCATCGTAAGATTCTAGGGCCGCCGACGGTTCGCTTGCGGAAGACGCGTTGGAAGCGGATGTGGCTAGATGTGGTGGCGCGTTGGAGGGTTGCGAGTAAGCCGGCGGTGGTGTTGGTAGGTGAGTAGCGCTCTCCGGATGCTTGCCCGCATTGCTATCCGGCACAAGACCAGAGCTGAGTACTGAATCCATTGTACCCAGGGGCCATATGCAGATATAGCCCCGCATGCCACAGATATCGGTGGCAGATTTCATATGTATCGGTACAGTAAAGCTGCCGAGTATAGAGGAACAGTTCTTCTCAATGACCTCGACCAAGCGAGCGGTCGCGACAGAATGATGCATGCGGAGATTTGCATCACTCAGAGCAGTAGGCATAGACTGCCCCGAGGCTTCTTGAGGACGAAAAAATAGGCAAGGGTCCCGGAATCTCAACATCCAATTCAACATCTCGAGCAAATCACGCAGAACAAGTATGCGGCTTGTACGATAGAAGCCCCAGATCCAGACGCGTTTCAAGCTCGAGTATATATGAATCTCTTCTGGTGCGCCCGGACAACCTAAGAAAAGCTTTTGCCACTTGGTGTCGTAGGTCGACCGAGCCTCTGGTGTGTTGGGTGTCATGTGGTAGTTCCAAGCTGGTGTAACATTTGCTTCCCAAGCTTGATAGTCGCTCTCTAGTTCGAGAGCGCTCTGTAAGAGTTCCTGCATGGCCATACGGTTGGTTGGTGGATTTGCACTTTGCTTGGTTTCGTGCCATCTAGCATGTAGCATTGCCGCTCGCCATATTAGGCGAATGACAAGGCATTAGAGTTCTTGTACAGACTTGGAAGATATCCGTCGACTTTGACCACGTCTCTCGTAGGTATTGCCGGGCGTCTTGCTGCTTGTAAGTTGCCTAGTAGCTGTCGCAAGAGGTTAGCCATCGCCGGGCAAGCTGTTCGTCTGTGACTGCGATTACCAGATGTGCATAGATGACTTCATAAAGTCTGGCTGATATGATATCGCTGTAGAACTCCTCAACCGTCCGCAATTGAAGCATAGCATTTGCGCCCTGGTTGTGAGCCAAGAATGTGCCTTTCCGCTGCACGCTAGTAAGATTCTGTTCATCACGTTAGAGATTGTGCATACCATCAAGCTATGTCGAACGAACGTACCTCGTAGATGCCCATCAGGTGTACCGAGCAAAGTGCAGCATTCGTGGCCGCCTGCTTCTTGTCCGCAATTGCCTTTGTCAACATCGGAAGGGCCCTCCCTACGCATTCCTCACCTAATGCTTGCGCATGAGAATCATTGTATCTATTAGCGAAGTTGACGTAGGATACTGCGTCAACAGCTGTCGCGATCAATGAGTTCTCCTGGGCGTCTTGATACAAGAGCGGGATGAAGGTCCAAAGGGCTTCATCTGGCTGGTCTGCTGGTCTGCTCGGCGAGTCGGGTAGCACAAAGTCGTATACAAAGCGCTCAAAAGCTCTTCTACGAAAATCCGGATTAGGCGATGGAGTGATAGTCAGCCGACTTAGATCGATGGTTGCGGACGCGACGCTTGATGATTCTTGAGCCGGGTCATCCACAGAGGCACCGGGAGAATGCACACTACCGCTGGATGAGCGCGTGTCATCCAGATGAGGTGGTGTTGACTCGTCGCTTGGTGGTGTTTTGATATAGGTGTTATTATAGGTGTTGCTGTAGGCGTTGCTACTTTCGGCAATAGTAGCACGTTGGTTTGACTTTGATCGCTTCCGCCATGACTCCTCTGCTCTCTGCGCAGCCGATGCCGTTTGGTTCCGAAAGAGGATGTCGGCTTGATCTCGGTACTTGCATTCATGACCTGCCTTGCTACACCGACTGCAAGCTGGCCTGCCCTCATCGCACTACTCTGGCATCAGCCTTGTCCCCATAATCGTCGTTGTCCACGGTGCAGTCCAGAGAATAGGACAATTCGAAGAACTCGACAGGGAGAGATGCGTACCTTGACTTTACGGGCTCTACAAGCCTCACATCCCTTACTGGGACGTCCGCGATAGGACATGCTTATGCTCTGGAAGCGATGAGGCGGTAAGAAGAAAGGGCGGCAAGCTCCGCAGTCGCTGCTGGTCAGGCTCAAGTAAGGTATCTACGAAGCAGACACTAGCGCAGGCATCCGATTGCACAGAACAAAGAACGTCAAGTCTAATAACTATGTCTCCCTTCCGGTCCGCGAATGTGCTGCGTGGTCATCCGAAGGGTCCTGAGCCAGAAGAGGCGTAGCGGCGATCAGGCTGAAACCCAGGCCACGCTTTTACGAGCTTGGAATGGAGCGCCCAGTGACTGGCGGAAGATGGACCATAAAGGTTGTCTGGCAGAGATCGAAGGGCATGGGGTCAGGCCCGGTGCTCGGGAAAACGGTGCTGCATAGTGGGTTGATGTGCCGTAGACTGCATAACTGCGTCACAAGCGACAGGCACCTATCGTTGCTGACTCAGGACTTAGTTGTGTCTTGGCACTCAGCGGCCTCGCACTTGCCGACTGCGACGATGCTGCAACACCACACGAGGCGTTCAACTCCATGCATGTTTCGCGGCACAGCTAGATAAGATTTAGACATCTCAGTGTCAAAGTTCTTACCGTTTCTGGATCGTGTTCTTTATTTCTCTCCTGAACTCCATTGTTAGTCTGCAAGGTCGATGCAGGCCGCCTACTTTCGAGCGCCTGAAATACGCCGACCAACAACTCCCGATACGCACCCGATCATCGCGAACACGCGATGCCAATGTTTCAACGGTCGTCTAGCAGGGAAAGATGGCATGTCATTGTCAACGGCTCCAGCGTTCGGAGGCCTAAAACCATGACATCAACTTGTCATTGGGCATTTGCAGAGTTGAGTAATCGGCCCTCTTCCAACGGGCGACTAGTAAGATTGACCTGGACCGCTCTGCGAACTTAGAGTTTGGGAACCACTATGAATTGCGGAGTATTCACGCAATCCTCTTTGACAGCTCGCATCTACTGCGAATTGCCAATGAGCTTGGGTTTTGGACATGGCGAAGTTTTTTCACCGGTGCCGGCAGCATAAAGGGGTAATCGCATACATTGGTAGACTTTGTTTCACGCTACCCCGAGTTTCAATATCGTCCACATTAACATCTGACAGGCGTCCGCACCAAAACCACCGGAGTAGCGAAGCCAACGCGATACACACATGCACAGACGGTAATCTTCAACGATGAGAATACGCTCATGCTATAGCTTCGCCAATATGTGCCTGCCACCATCCTCACTTCCCAACACAATTTCCTCGCTGCGCCAGTCCGGATTGAACGTTACCTTGTTGAGCGGGTTTCTGCGATGCGCCATGTCGAAAAGCTCTTCATACACCCTACCATCATTTCTGCCCAACGCACTGTTCAACAACCAATCTGGTATCGACCAGGCGTCCACCAGCTTCACCGCATGTGGTCTCAATTCGGCCATAAGCTCGATGATCCCATCCTGCAAAGCAAAGACCGACTCTGGCGGCACGGCCGCTGTCATGGTAAATGAGGAAGCGAATTGATCCAGGGTGTAAAGCGCGTACAGCCGGAAGCACGTCCGTAGCACGTGCGATGCGGGTGGAGCGATGGAGCTGAAGCTGTTGTAGAAGTTTGTAATCAGGATCTGCTCCGAGTATGCGCGGCTGAGGTTATGGAGTTGGATCATAAGAGGTGTCCACGGTTTCTTCTCAACAACACGTGCTTGATAAGCCCGATAGGAAAGATCAGCCGCGCGCCACTGGAACACATCGACTATGCCTTGGTCGTCTACAACTCCGTCTTTCCAGACATTTTGCGGTAAGCGATGATCTTTGTTGCGAAGGTAAAATTGGAAGAGTTCGTCTGTTGGATCCTTCGCTGGTGAGTTTGGATCTTTGACGGCGTCTGCCATCTTCTTGATGAGGTACGCAGCAACCTGCTGAGTGATCATCCAGTTGTCGCCTTCGACAGTTGGCTTGGAGAGATAGTCACCGTTCAGCCCTACCAGCCCACTCCCACCCCCGAAGCCATGGCCACCCATTGCGCGTCGACAGGTTTCGATACCGTCCGCAGCAAGCGTAGTACACAAGCTCTTCAGTCCTGAGCTTGCGCTGTGCAACTCTGCCAATGGTCCAAAGTCGCCTTTCTCGATATTCTCTCGCGACTTGTGGTACAGCTTGTACATGTACTCGCCAGTATAATGCAACGCGAAAGTAGTCGCAAGCAACGGCAAGATCCGTATTTGTACGGTAGGGTAGTCGAGGACCTTCATCTCGTCGTCTGAAACGTTGGTAGAGTCGCGGTCTTTGAATTGTCGCCGTATAGCGCAATATCGCACAGCGACGGTAACAGCCCGCGCAAGCACCAACCGCGCATGCATTATGATCTGCCCGCGAACGAAGGTCAGACTTCCATATACGACAGCCGGATGACCAGTCCGAATGAACGCGCCTGTCTCGTCCGAGACCTCCGCATAGCGGCTCAGCATAGCCGACTTAGGTACGCGGAAGTGGTCAAAGAGCATATAGCCATTATCCATACTTGCATACCCGTACTTCGGACCGATGTCGCCTACTGCAATGCCCGGCAAAGGCTGATGGGTCTTCGCATCCCGAATCTGCAGGATGAAGGTTTGCGGCCCGTGGGAGGCATACTCGAGTTTCTTATCCTTCCGGTCGGCCTTTCCTGATCTTTCGGCTGTAGAGGACGTTTTTGGCAAGAGCAACTGTGCGACCACAATCTATACAAGGCATGCGTTAGCGAACGCCCAAGGCAGACGTGAAGTTCTGGAACAGTCGCATAAGAAGGGGCTGAATACGTACTGCATGCGTGGCGGTCCTCCCCATCGATCCGTTCCACCATTTGCTCGCCGTGAGAGTAGGGCTGTGAATCTCGAATTCTTTCTCTATCGGGTCCCACCTTGCGACGGTTTCGAGGCCGCGTACGTTACTCCCATGGCCTAGTTCAGTTTGTGCATAGCAGCCAATGATGTCGTAATTGAGGATCTTGGGCATCCAATACTTTTGCTGTTCTTCGGAGGCTTGCTCGCGTACTGTTGTGACTGTGCGATGCGGTGCATGTCAGCTCCCAGCGCCCCGGTGGTACGATTATGCACGACGTCTCTCTCAGCTGCAACCTTCCGTTGACTCACCGAACATGCTCATATGCAAGAAATATGGGCTCATTTCATCAGTCAGATATTCCGCCATGTTGAGGTCTTCGTGGTCCCAGCCTTCTCGTCTCATCAATCTCTGGATAGCTTTCGCTCTGGCTAGCCCTAGGTGATACCGCTCTGGTCGCGATAAGTTCAGCTGCTGATCTTTACTGAAAAGCTTCTCCTTGCTTAACACGCGGAGGATCTTTTCCTGCCGCTTCAGGAAGTCATCACGGCCTAGAAGGTGCTGTGCGAGTTGGTGGACGTCAATGCCCGAGCCGTTGCGTTCGGCTTGGAGGGTTGCTGTGCCATCGTGCGCAGGCTTGAGTTGATCGGTGAAGTCTGCCATGATGCGATTGGCTGTTCGTTAATTATTTGCTTGACCAACAGAGTCAGTCGCAGGCGTTTCGAAGCGAGGTGTGCGAGCGCTGGTGAAGTCGACTGAGCATGCCGCCGGGCATTGGATACAAGCTCGCATCGTCAATGTCAATGCGCCGGCAATAACGCGGAGTTGTAAGCTGTATCACTGCCTCGGTATACGCGGATTATGCGTGGTGGGCAGAAGCCGTAGATGTCGCGCGGAGAAGGTTGATGGCGCAACGGTGCGGGGCGTCGAAATGCGGGGTCGCAGGGCCGGTGGCTTTGGAGTGGCAGCATTGCTATCGACTAGAAACATCTGACTAACGAACAAACATCACCAAGTTTACGTCAAGGCCGCTCGTTAACAATGCGATGTAGATCGGAAAGCATTATAGTATTACATGATCATGACCAGCGTGATCATAACACCACACGCCGATACGACCATACCCAAGCACCAGAAGAGCAATCATCAACGAAATCCTAACCAACTAAAGAAAAGCGCCCCCCCCCCCCCCCCCCCCCGATTTTGAGATACCACCCAATGCAAGCTAATTGTACAGGATATCAAATGTCCGACCCAAATCATTAACCGAAATCAACACCAGATAAACATACCCAATACCGTCATATCGAAACGAGATACCGTAAGCGTCATCCACAGTTTGGTGTACCGGTGCACCAAACTCGCATTACCCAGAAGAAGGCAACAGAAACATACCAATGAACAAACGATAGTGTTCACCGTTCATTCAATCACCGCGTCGGCCCAACAGCTCAGCCCGCCCTCTTCTTCGAGCACACGCGTCATGTCTTCTTCAGCAAGTCGCACGAGGATCTCAAACGGCGCCTCCTCTTGGTTCGCAGTTTGCCTCCGACGCGGAAGGAAGATCATACCGCCATCGCCCGGACCGTAAGATCGTCTGATGAACTCGGGTCGACCAGCCAGGGAGTCCTTGCCTAGATCGGTGCCAGGTATGCCCCAGCTGATATCAGCGCCGAAGTTGAGCCACGACGAGATGTATATGTCTGAGCCGAACTTCAAGGCTAGTGCGACCTCGGTGTCTGTAATCTGCTCGATTGACTTGAAGAAAGTTAGGTGGCGGTTCACCCATTCGTCGTCGACATCGAGGATCGTGCTCTTGATGGTGTTTATGACCTTGACGATTGTGGACTTGGTTACACTATCGTTATTTGTCAGCTGGATTTCTCAAACTTAATCGCGTTGCTCAAGATTTGGTGTACAAGGTTCAGCGCGCCACAAAGTGTGACGAGCGATGACGAGGTAGTAGGGGATAGACTCACCGGTCCTCTGCTGTAAGGTCTGCGACGTTCATTGTGCCTCGTGAGAACAGCGCCATGTTGCCTGTGTAGTCTGTGGATACCGGAGGTCGTTGCCGTCTTCGCAAGTCCGTCGCAATACCGATGCTAGTTTCTGTTAACCCGCACTTGGTCAAGCGATTTGCTCTAGCGCGGGTAACATGCGTCCAGACCAGGGCTGCAAGCACATTGCACATTGTCGGAGGAGTGTTCTCCGGAAACTGGGCGCGTAAAGTTTCCCTGTACTCGCGTACTCGTGATGCTGGAATGGCAAAGAGGCGCTGGGTACATTTCGTCTCTTTAGGCAAGGTTTGAAGATACCGAGGTGAGCCATCGCAATAGCAGTCTGCGCTGGCGCTGGCTTGTGGTGGCGTGATCTGCTCGTCAACTGCTTTCCGCATCAGAGACTGCTTCTCGGCGACGCTTTCCATATCTGGCTTCGTCAGTCATAGCTTGAGAATGCAGTGAGGAGTCTTACCCATGATTTTGTGCTCTTCGAAGAGTTGCTGCTTCGAAAGGCTGGAAACATTCTCGGCGAAGGTTTGCCAGAAAAGGGTGACGCCGGAGAAGTCGAAGACACTGTGATGCATGTACATCGAGAGCACAAGACCACCAGGTATGAAGAAAGCCTGAGTTCTCATTGCCGGTGCATCGCTCTTATTGAAGTCTACTTTGCCCTCGCCGTCTCTTGGAATACCAGGATATTCTGCGAGATCTTCCGGGACAAACATCGATGACGTGAAAGCACTAGGTGGCATGCCATCTCTTTTGAGCTGCTCGTAGGTATGTGGGAAGTTCTTCTCATGGTACGGGATCTGCTTCGACCGAAAGATACGACTCAGATGCTGGCTCGATATCTCCGCTGGGTAGTGGAGAGCAAGCTTACCCGCTTCTCGGTCGGCAAGTGTGAGAGTGCCAGCGAGAAAGGGGAATTTGTTTAGTGTGAGGCGTAGCCCAGCACTCAGAGATTGTATGGCATCTTCGGCGAGATTCTGGTCCGGAAACTGCGGATAGCGTCAACTTCTGCCAACACGACACATAATTCTGGAAAACATACTGGAAAGATACACAGAGTCTGTATGTAAACGCGCACTACATTTTGGTCTAGACATGAGAGATGAAACGACTTCATCGGTATGGGCGGGACGTGTGGTTTGGCCAGCATCTCGAGGAAGCGGGGAATGGTGCTAGTGATGGGATCAAAAAGCCGGCCGTTGCGCGATACTAGGGGTAATTCAAGGGACATGGTCGTGGCTTTTCCGATGTCAGTGTATATATACGAAAGCGATGAAGAGTCACACATACGACGAATTGGGTGAGCAAACACCCAGCATGTGAAGCACGAGATGATTTTACCCCCTTCACCGCAAAAGGCCCCATTGAACTGCGCCTGGTGTGACGGGAGGCATTGGCCCACTACGGGCCGAGAAGGACTATGACCGCATGCGGAAACATCTGTGCGCATAAGCCACGCTCATTCCCGCATTCCCCGCCTGTCTGCTTATTCGTGATTCACACTCAACCCTTGACGTGCGCCAAACGTGTCTCGTGCCGTCTTCCCCGTCCGCTTTGCTCGACCGTGCCTGAGTTACCAAACCTCGCGTAACGGATGAGGTGCAGCCGATGCGGCAACGTTCAGAGAGGGTTCCCGCCGACAAACGAGATGGCCACGACTAGGACCGTTCGTGTGCTTTGCTTTTCTTTTCGCCAGTCCTCGCCTTTCGAGGCTGAGGTTAGCCGACAACATGCAGCTCGAAAAACATCAATTTGCTATTCTGTGACGTCTATGCCCCTGGCGACAAGGGTGGGGCGCATAGGAATTGTCCTTGTTTGTGTCGACTGTCAAAATCAGGCTGTCATCCACGTCCTCCGATCGTGCTGTCGCTGCGGGACTCGTCGCGGCACAGCGTGACATTCCGATCGTATCTGAAATTGCGGGTTTGGCTGCTCTCCAACCTGAATGGCCCATGTGACCAGGATGCCACGAGGCATTGTTTGATCATCGATACCAAACTAACTGCAGGCAAATCAATACACCGGAAGTGTCGCCTTTCTTTAGTCGGTGTGCGCCTCAAGCAAGGCCAAATTGCAGCCCTATGACCAGGCGCTTGGATGCCTGTGTGCCCGAACCACTTTTGCGACTGAAATGCACCCGCGTTTAGCAGCGCAGAGCGTGTCATTGCAGCCTGGAGGGATCAGCGAAACCAAGGAGCCCGCGCTAGCACATAGTTGCTTTCAACGTCCCAGTCGATGTGAACACGTTTTTCATGACTGCTTTCGACAAAAACCAGTGTCGCCGTAGTACTGAGAGCTCACCGAAGCTAGCTGCCATGGTGATGCTCCAAATAGCATCTGACAGGTAGCGGTGTGATGTATATCGCCTCTCAGTAGGCTGTGAGAGTAAACAGTGATGCGTCATATGATCGGTAAGGCTCCTGAGGAGACACGTCGCCGGCGGTCCTTCGGTTAGTGGGTCGTTACCAGCGCGAAATGCCAGCAAATACCATCAGCATCGCTAAGGAACAATCAAACGAGACCCTTGTCGAGAGTAAGATGACGAAGATAGATGTCGATGCGGCTGCAGCCATTGTGGCTGACTGATGCAATAAGCCCCACGTTATGTGCGACGGTGCTGTCCAATAAGCGAAGAGCGCCCCATGCGAGTGCTTGCGAAAAGGAATTAGCAGGTCCTTCTGAGCAATCGGGCCCCTTCCAGGCAGCTGCATTGCGGAAATATTTGCAGAGCTATCGAAGGCTTCCATGCGCCTTGTACCCAGATAGCCTCTTGCATTGAGGGACTATCTATGCGATAGGAGTAAGGTTTGTAGGCCGTCGCACAGCGAACGGCGGTATGCATGGCCGGGTAACGACCCGAAGGAGCGTTGGATGAGTGAAAACAACCAAGTCCTAGTTGAATTGAACGTACGGGGAAGAGGCGCCCGGATAGAGTAAAGTTTGAAAGGTGGATCAGCATGAGCCTGATTCCATGCAGCCGCGTCAATCATGCGACCAGAAGAATGAATCGCATCCTTCGCGCAACACCATGACAGGGTGATATGAGTGTGGTGAGAATCTAGGCCCGACCCGTCGTGACCAGTCCGATGTGATGGTATTTCGAGAATTGCACGTTGAGCGCTTCCGTGCAAGACGCCATGCCGGTTGGTTGCAAACCTCTCTGCCAGTCCATTCACGGTGAAGGAGCAGTGGCCATTGGTGCAACGACTCGCGTAACTGTCGTCCTATCTTGTATTGAACGCGGGCGGAACAGCCGAACGGTATGTAAAACCTGTGCCGTATGCAACTAGGTGACGCCAGCAGTATCCTTGTCTGTGTCGTCGCCTACTTCTTATCGAGATTGCCCGCGACCTTTGGCCATCATTACGGCTGCGGGCGTGCGGCGGGGCCTTGCACAGCACTTAGCGCCGGGAGTGAAAGCGTTGCGGGGTTTCGCGGAATACTTCCCCGCGAATCTTGTGATACGATCGGCTAAGGAAACATAGTCTTGATGAAACCCCGCATGCGACTCGTTATATCCGAGTGTTTGCAGCCAGCTCATAATGTAGTACAACACCTCAATACCCAGGCACAAAGAGTGGATACGGAGTATTGGCGGTCAAATCATAGATGCTCGAGCCGGAACCGAGCACCACAATCATGAAGGACCGATGTTGTATGGTACCGAAGCACTCTGGACATAATGTGCTACCGAATAGTGTAAGATTCGACTTCCACTTTATGCGCAGATATGCTCATAACGTTGTGCTGAACATGTCTTAGCCTCTCTTTAGTCGGCTTCTCCGATTTGCCAACCGGACGACTACGCGCATAGCTATTAACGATGTTCGGTTGAACGTGCAGAAGACACATCTAGAGTTACTCTCGGATGTGTTGGCCTTGAGAGAGAGGCTTCTCAGCACGTTGACGAATGCGATTCGTGAGGCGCTGAATAGGCGGGAGGAGGTATACATCGCCGTCATAGCACCAGGAGGCTACGAATACACAGTAGCGGTATTAGCAATACTTGCCCTTGGAGCTGCTGTAGTACCACTGACTCCAGCCTTACCCGTAGAAGAGGCAGTCTACTTCATCGAGAAGTCAAGAGCAGTGCTGGTTCTTGCCAGCTCATCGAACATGAAAAAGTGTCGCGACCTGGAAATTCGGATTGCATCGATGAGTAACAAAAGCTTTCAAGCTGTAGTCATTCAACCGCCAAATGCTCGTCCTACCCTCAAGGCTGGAGAAATCATCATCTCTTCCGACCGTACCATGGATGAAAATGCGCCTGCCGTGGTCATTTTCACTAGTGGGACTACCGGCCCACCTAAAGGTGCAGTCATGCGAAGATCTTTTGTCTTCGACTGTGCACTCGAAGTGGCGGATCACTACCAGCTAATAGAAGACGATGTGGTTTTGCACGTTCTTCCGGTGCATCATGCGACGGGTGTCGGCATCAACTTTTTTCCATCTCTTGTAGCTGGTAGTTGTATCGAGTTTCGCAGCGGAGGCTTTGACGAAGAGCGAATGTGGGAGCGATGGAAACAGGGCGCTTCCGACACCAAACAACGAATTACTGTCTTCTCTGGTGTACCTACTATATACATGAGGATGAGACGGTACTATCAACAGCGAATAAGCAAGCTACCTGCAGATGAGATAGCAAAGTATGTCGCGGGCGCGAGACAGTTTCGAGCCTGCTTATGCGGAACATCAGCACTACCGCAGCCACTCGACGACTTTTGGAAGCATCTGATGCAAAAGCCGATCCTGCAACGATACGGAGCTACCGAGTTTGGGGCTATCTTCAAGATGCGCCTCGGCGACGAGTGCGTCCCAGAAGGTTCAGTTGGTGAACTCGCCAGCGGCGTTGATGCCAAGCTATCCGGAGGAGACGAAGGAGAGGTGCTCGTGAAAGCCCAGTAAGTCTTGCATGAGTCGGCTGATAAGTTGCGCTAAGCAAGTTTAGCATATGTTCTCAAAGTACCTGCGTGATCCTGAAGGAACTGCAAAAGCTCAATGATCGAGATGGATACTTCCGAAGCGGCGACATTGCGCGACGAGAGGGCAAATATTACTTCATTATCGGTCGGGGCGTCTCTAGATATCATCAAGTCGGGCGGATACAAGATCTCGGCTCTGGATGTCGAGCGCGAACTGCTCAGTCTGCCATATGTAGCTGAAGCCATGGTAGTCAGTGTACCAGACGAGGAGTACGGGCAGCGCGTCGCTGCACTGGTGTCGCTTCAGAACGAGGAAATGCCTGCGGAATTCTTGAGTGGCAGCGATGCGTCCCAGCACGCCTTGACGATCGACGACTTGCGACGAGACCTACGGGAAAGGCTAGCTGGGTATAAGCTACCCACGCTCCTGAGGATTGCAGATGGCGAATTTCCAAAGACAGTTACAGGCAAAGTGCAGAAAAAGATTCTTGGGCCTCGCTTCTTCCCTGCAGATTATCATTGGCGTCAAGAAGTACAAAAATGGGACGCGCGATCTCCGAAGACCTTGGCGAAGCTTTGATCTTTCGGGCTCATCGTACCGAAGATTCTTCTGCGCGTCATCTCGATTGAGCTGAATGATCAACGTATGGTCGCAATCGCGCATACACAGATGTTTGCGGTTCATTATTGCATGAAAGAAAAGTAAATGTACCATTCCAGTGCGGTGATGGTGGGCCCTTTGGTTGTCATGACGAGACAAAGAACTTTGGCAATGGCGCAGGCGCTGCAGAGAGTGTTCAAGTAGAGTAGCTGGTAAGATAATTATAAACAATTACCAGAGCTTGATCGCGTACAGGATCTTAGAACACTTATCTTCTTAGTGTTCTTAATGCTGCTTTGTACATCGAGATATCCCCTTGCTTCCTTCGAAGTTTTGCCTGCGGCTTTGCGCGTGGATGGGGCCCTGTTAGCATCGTCTCCACGAAGACGTTCGTTGCCTGCGATAGAGGTGTCCAGGTCCTGCTAGTTACAATCAATACTTTGACAATAGATCTCTTTGCGCGGCCCGTCAACTCTTTCAGCAGATTGCAGAAAAGCGCAATGACCTCATCGGTTGACGATGTTGCGTGCACAGAAGAGATCAGGATGTCTAACTCGAGAACGATGTATACTTCCCGACATACGTTCTCGAGCGTAGCCCCAAGGATCTCAAGCCACTCCTTCGCCGTGGTAGCGGTGCGAAGCTGCGTGCAGCTTAACGCCGTCGATTTCTGAGAGTGCGCTGAGTCGCCTAATGTAAGCGCTTGAGCGGCGAGTGACTTGAGAATGTCTAGCGGGTTCGGAATGCTGGTGGCTCGATCGGACAGTTGTGCGTTTACGGCCCAGAGCGTTGTGATGTTCTTGCTCTTCAACTCTTCAGCTACTCTAACGGCCGTGTCGCGCAAAGCCCCTCGCTCTTGGAAACTACCCTTGATGAGCATGAGTGACGGCTCTGAAGACTCTGCAAACTTTTTCAACGTCTGGGATTGCCAAAAGCATTTGGGACGTTGACCTGCTGAGTTCGTCGGCGCAGATTTCGTACCATAACGGCCTGGCGTGTAGCTTTTCAAGAGGATCGAATGATGATAGCTCTGCTGCGATTCGCACCATTTCCGAGAATTGCAAATCCGATACCTTGTCGTTTGTATCCACGAGTGAGGATGAATTGATGGCTTGGTGATCTATGTACAGTAAGCAGGCGTAGACCCTCATCATATAAACACCGTGGACATACTGATCATCATGCATTTCATCTCGAAGATAGTGCTTTCAGACTTCTCTACGCGATCAGCCATCAACTTCACGATGGTGTGCATTTGTCGCAGCTCCATTTGAGACCCGCGATGGCTAGCTGCTCGATATTCCGTGAGCCAGTCTCAATATTCTCCAGAACATCATGGTAACGTAACTCGGCAGGACGTGGTAACAGAATGAATGATGTGACGCAGAGTACCCTCTTGGCACCAGTCATGGGCACGGATCAAGAACCGGATGATTTGCGCGTACAATCCTTCCACGGCATCTGTCATCCTCGCAGTTGGGTATAAGATTGTCGCCAGTTCAATGCGAGGAAGGGCATCTGCGATACGGGCAAGGCCTTTTGCTATGCTTGTGATGACACCTTCATGGTTCAGAAATGCCTTGTGGTTACATTATCAATATTGGACCGATTCCGAGGCTTCATGCTATGTCATTTCGGGTCGACTCACTACGAAAAGAAACTTTATCGTGCCCCAAGCCAGAGCTACATACTCCGGATTGATGCTGCGCTAGTATGTCGAAGATGTTTCCGTAATGTATCAAGCGGCTGGAAAATCGTTCCAGCCATTTCCCAGCTTTTTGTTGCGAGAGAATGTGTAACTATCGCAGGCGGTCTTTACGACGTTTTCCAAGTCCTGCAAACTCGCTGACTGATTGGCAAAGTCAACTTTGCGCTTATCTTGCGTCAAATTGGAACCAAAATGTAGAATCGCAAGCTTGTATGATGCAGCTGCGCTGTTACCTGTTGTACTGCGAGATGTTAGTGAGGCGCTAATGCAGCTACGAGTAGCCTCGCCTCGGAACGCCTCCTTGGGTCGCACGGTCGCAATGGGGTACATACAGTGTATGAGGACACCCGATCCACCCTTCACTTAGCTGAGTCGCCATCTTACGTTGTTGTCGTTTATCTGGAAGAATTGGAAGTAAGCTTTCAGCCTCCAGGCTGCAACGTTCAGCTGCCAAGCATGTGGCTCGTGTCCCTATCTCGTTGCGGTTAGACCCTGTGATCTTACGTAGACACCTGTCATTGTGCGGGGTCTTGCTTCCTATCTTTCTGATTAGGTTACCTGTTGCAGATGTTCACCAGACCATCGAAAAACAGACTGGATCGAACAAGAGGTCCCGTTCGCCACTTCGATCTCATACCTTCCGGAGGCCCAACAAAGGCGAGGGACGGCAGCGACGAGGCTGAAGATTCCGATCACAAAGTTGGAGATCCTGACCACGAGGCCGAAGCTTCGGATCACGAGGCTGAGCATTTGAGTGACGATCAGTCTCCAGATGATTACGATGACGACAAGGAAACATTAGAAAGGGATGAAACCGGATTTCGCACCGAGGAAATTCACACACCGTTTCTAGATCCAAACGCCAACACCGAAGGCGATTCATTTCACAGCGGCCCAGATTTTGACCAGAAAGACATAGAAGACGCAAGAGAAGAGTACTCTAGTCTCTTGAAGAAGTTGACTATCTCCCGAGATCAAACAGAAGCTAGCAGCTTCGAAACAGACAGACTTTTGGCGATCGCTGTGAACCTGGGGGTATTCACGGATAACGATACCACGGAACCATTGCCGCCGCCGCCTCCTGGTCAGGGAAACCACGCTCTCCAAGACTATCAGATGCAACTTATGCTTTTGGAACAGCAGAATAAAAAGCGACTCCTCATGGCGCGGCAGGAACAAGACCAAATCGCCTCTGGCATTTCCGATCTGCCCTTTGCCCAGAACTCTCTCCCCACCAAGGTCCCCGAAGCTGTTCACTCTGCCCTGATGCCCGAAACTAACTAAATCCTGCACTCAGACCCAAAAGCAGCAGTAGCCTTGCATAGACATTCAAATATAACGCTCTCTCACTCACTAAACGAAGCGCGAAACAAGGCAGATCTGGCGAGTCAGCTTGTTCAGCAGGCTTTGAGAAATTGATGAACGGAGAAAGTACTACAGGAGACCAGAACAAACCATGCAGGTTCCAGCCCTCTCCGCTTCCAGGTACTTCATCTATTAGATGATGCAAACAGTACTGTTTTGTCTTCAAGAGCCAACTTGGACTTTCGGAAAGAATGGCAGACTGCAGCTCAGAGCAGAGTTACCACTAGTCGATCTG